TTTTGTCTTTTTGAGACTGGGTCTCCCTGTAGCCCCAGCTGTTGTGGAACTCACTATGTAGACCAGGCTGGCCTTGAACTCACAGAGATCCACCTGCCTATGCCTCCCGGGTGCTAGGATTAAAAGCGTGCGCCACCATGCCTGGCTCAGCTTATATACTTTTAATTGCATTTTTGCTCTGCTATACTACTTTTGTTTTTTTGAGACAGGGTCTCACTATGTAGCCCTGGCTGACCTAAAACTCTCTATGTAGATTAGGCTAGCTTTGAACTCATAGAGCTCTGCCTGTCTCTGCCTCCTGAGTACTGGGATTGAAGGTGTGAACCACTGTGCCTGGCTGCTTAGCTAGTCTTAACCTGCTTTCAGATGTAATACAGACTTTCATTCTGGGAGACTTACTGTGGGATTTTTTTCATCTAAAGTGCTTGTTAAGAATAAGACTGTTTTATTAATTTAGTGATGCTGCTGCTGCCATTTTGGACCCAGACTCTGAAAATGAGGAGTTGGCTTCATGACATTGTCTATTAATCTTGTCTTACAAATTTGGAGTCTGTTCATTGATGTGGAATTTTCTGTATTCAGAGCTAAATCTTATTTCATTGAGTAGCTCCTTGAATCAAAGACTGTGAGAGCTTATGACATAGCATTATGTCATAACTCGTGGGAAGGGGGAAAGCCGTTTAGAGATCCAAAGTGATAGGCCAGCTCTTCTCTATGCAGCAGGGCATTTTTCTACTTCAACTGAGTAAAACTTTTTTCAATACTATGTATCAGACATAAGGCATGATGTCAGTGAAGAAATAATATTCCTGTGTTATGTGGTCAGAATGACAGGTTATGGTCCATGGTTTTGTATATTATAATCAACAGTGTTTTCATTTAGGTTTCCAGTTTCCTTTTATGGTAATATCCAGTGTGTTGAAATTTTTGTTCCTTGCTTCGCTCTGTATTGACATCTTCGAGATCAGTCTATAGAGACTTTCTGATCCTCAGTAGAACCAATACCTAAAGTGTATAAATTACAAGAATCTAA